TATAATCACTGAAAATAAGAATTGATGTGTTTTCGTTACCTTAGAATGAGTTGTTTTTATCTATCTAGGGAGCAGGTTCTCTTCTACGGAGGCCACCATGTCAAACTGCCGTGTTTCTTCGGTAGGCCAGAATGGACAAACCAAACCTCTAGATAGGATCTTTTTACGGGAGTTTTACAACCACCATAGTTTAGACATACGCATTTGAAAGGGGAGGGTGAAGTGAGTTGGTTGCAATTTGCACCTGCACTGTGACTGAGGACTGAATAGCAAGCAAGTCTATGTACACTGGTGTGCCTGCAGCAGAAGCCCATGAGCTGTTGCAGCCGTTGTAATCAACAAACATAATAAAGAGGAGGCACCCAGTGTTGCTTCAGCTTCTCCCATGCCTGAAGGCTGATTTATAGTTGTACACAGAGCCTGGGTTGTAGCCTACGCAAGTGGTCTAAGCCGCTGTGAGCATTTATACTTGTGCGCTGATGTGTCTGCAGAGCTATGTAATTTACACCGCCAAAACACTAGTAGGTGGTGGGGTTTCTGTGCCACTGTGTTGGCTTTCTTTATGTTCTTCAAACAACGGCGAGTGAAACTGAAACTCTACCTCATCTCTCCTCAATGTGTCTTTTCTTCTGTGAAACTTCAGGATGAGGGAATAAGAGGGCACAGACATGCAGTGAGGCATTGTCCCATGTGAGTGTGTGCGTGTGTGTGTTTGAAGAGTGAATCTCAAACAGCATTATTAACTCATCTGGGTTTAGCATGAGTCGCCTTCCATTCTCAGACAATGCACACACACACAATGCGATGCTAGGTGGACCAATCGCAGTTGTTGCGGTCTGTGTTGCTGCAATAGTTAGTTCCATTTCTAGGTAGGTGCATGTCAGGCTATGGCATATACATATATATATATATATAGGGTACGCTCCACTGTACATATGCAGAACCTACGGTATAGATTCAACACAGAAGTATAAACTTGCCTATTTAATCACTTTCTGCAGATGATAAGAGTTAACCTACAATTTCCAACTGACCTATCACTGAGCTAAGCTGTGCCACAATTACCATTCAAATTTCTTAGAACTTTAAGAAACAGTTAAACATGAGCAGCTTCTTATTTCTAACCAGCGACCATCAGTTTCACTGGCTGAAATAACAACTATTGCTAGCAGATTTTAATATCAACTGCAGTCGCTAGCTAATTAGGCATTCGCTTCACAAGCTGGCTGACAACTCCGTCTCCGGCTGACTCGTTTTAAAACAAGTTGAACCCTTGCCACCTGTGATGCGTTTATGTAACTTGTGAATGATTTGCTGCAAGAGATAATAGATGGGAGGCACTCATTTCTTGCAGCGTTTATTGTGGCTTTTCCCAAAAGGAGTTCACCAAATGTTGTAATCTCTGTAATGTTTTCCTATTCACCGACACAGATTACTATTTCAGTGTGACCATTCCTCTCTCTTTTACCTTCTTTTTTTGGGAATTTCCATAGACCATCTGGTCATGAACATGTTGAGAAGGCGATTTATAAAAAATGTCACCTGTTCCTCTAGTCTTTTCATCAGACGGTATCTTAACCACCGTTTCTGAAATCAGTGTTAAATATGAAGAAATGTCCCAGTTTTAAAGTAGATCAGAACAGAAGTGTCTGCAGAAGCTGGCAGCCGAGTGAGAGCCCCACCAGGGACACTAACACATCACTGCTGTCAAAGCTTCATCCTCTAAAAATCTGCTTTCCAAGAGTTGAGAAAAACATCCTTAAGTCGATACACATACATTTTAATTCAAAATGTATTTCAACTGGATTTCGTAGGCCAAATGTCTCTGACACTTCAGCAGCTGATAAAGAAACAGTGAATACTTTTTTCTCAAGACTGAAGAGTTTCCAGACTTAACATCTATTCCCCGCTGAATCCTATCTCTACTTTCTTATAAATAGAAATATGAATAATCTCCACATTCATACAGTTCCTTGTATTCACACTGGGAGCTGCCAAGCAAGACTTAATGTTGAGCACTATGAAAGCACTGATAGCCACCACACAGGGGTAATGGTTCTAAATGCTTTAAGTGCTTTAAAACAAAGCATCAGGTTCACTGGGGTATTCACTTTGCTCCACAGTAATTGCTGGTCCCATGGCTGATACTTAGACAGGTTTTGAATGGTACAAAGACAGAGGTTGGGGTACTCAGCCCCAGATGTGAGATCCCTCATCCACCAAACAGAACACTTTTTTTTTTAAATCCCTATTTATCTGCATTGTGTCTCAGGTCACAGAAGTCATTGCTTCCTATTAATAATATCAATATGTAACATTTTCATATTTGGTGTAAATGTCAACTCTGCTCAAGTATATTAGTAACAAAAACGGTGAGGGAGGAAGACCAATGGGAGAAAAAGTCTTCCAGACTTAACATCTATTCCTAGTTGAATGCTATCTCTACGTCTCTACTATTGAACTTTCTTATAAATAGAAATATGATTAATCTTCATCCTTATATTTATTTTCTGTGGACTCCATCACTCATGATCATTTAAGGATGTCATGCTGAAGATCCAGTCATTGAAGCTATTCTATTGTTGCACCCGTCATTAAGCTTCTCTAGATGAGATAGTTGGTGAAATGAAAAAACTTTAAAAAATGTGAAGGTTGCCATTTATCAGCAGGTGGAGGCTCAGAAACTCTTTGAACAAACATAATCAATGGCACCCTCAGATGTTTTTTCATAGTGGTGGGGCATCTTGGGATGGCACACCACAACCAAAAGCTGGGGGAGGGTTCGGAGTGTGACACGGTGATGGGCAGTCACATGAGCTATTAAAAATACACATTATTGTATTAAATGAATAGCACCTAATGTGAAATATCAGATAGAAGCATATTATGCATACAGTACTCATTACTCCGAGGGGGGGTCAGTGATTGTATCGGGGTGGGCGTGACCCCTCCTGGACACCCCTTGGCAGCGCCACTGCACCAAATATATGTAGTATAATTTTTCATCAGAAGATATTTGATTGTTATCATCACTTTTACTTCATTTATCTTCTCCTTTGCAGTGAGGTGTGGGGATATTTCACAGACGGATTTCTTATCTCGCATGTGAAAATTGAGAATTTGTGTCTGCTTTAATAATTAATCACATCAGTTTTATCAAAATATCTACTTCTATCTTTGTCGTTACGTAAATCAACTAAACTGAAGGTCAATAATTTAACTTCACTATTGTAACAACTCATTCCTCTGTCCGGCATGTTTGCCTTGGCTTACACGGTGGCCTCTTACTTCACTGCACCCATTTATGAGATTTAACTTTGTAGCCATTTGTGTCATGAAATATGACCTGAAGATATTGTAAAACCTGTTGAAAATATAGTCATTGAGATGATACTGAAAGAAAGGTTATAATTTAAACAC